TTAGTTTGCTCTGGAGCCCCATCCTTCCTGAGCTAAGACAAAAATGTGTGAGCTGGAGGCTAAAAGACTGTGAGCTAGCTCACACTAACTCAGCTTAGAGGGAACACTGGTCTCCAGCAGGTGTGAGCGAGCTCACAGTTTTTTAGCCTCCGGCTCACACTTTTTTGTCTTAGCTCAGGAAGGATGGGGCTCCAGAGCAAACTAACTGATGCAGCAGCCAAACTGCTCGCTCACAACTTTAATGCCAGCAGCTCACAAAGTTGAATTTTTGCTCACAAGACTCCACAGCTTAGAGGGAACATTGGTCTCCAGGCTGCAGAAGTCGGTGCCACTGCCTGGAGGACTCCGTGGAGTTTTACCCCACTCAGTGTTCCCTCTAAGCTGAGTTAGTGTGAGCTAGCTCACAGTTTTTTAGCCTCCGGCTCACACATTTTTGTCTCGGCTCAGGAAGGATAGGGCTCCAGAGCAAACTAATTTATGCAGCGGCCAAATCACTCGCTCACAACTTTAAGGCCAGGAGCTCACCAAGTACAGTTTTTGCTCACAAGACTCCACAGCTTAGAGGGAACATTGGCCTCCAGGCTGCAGAAGTCGGTGCCACTGCCTGGAGGACTCCATGGAGTTGTACCCCACTTAGGTCCCTTCCTTCCCCAAAACCTTGGACGAACACACACGCACCCAGTTGCCAGCAATTCTCCAACCTGGAGTTGGCCGCAGAGTTCCCTCTAAGCTGAGTCGGTGTGAGCTAGCTCACAGTTTTTTAGCCTCCGGCTCACACATTTTTGTCTCGGCTCAGGAAGGATGGGGCTCCAGAGCAAACTAATTTATGCAGCGGCCAAATCGCTCGCTGTCGCTCACCAAGTAGAGTTTTTGCCCACAAGACTCCACGGCTTAGAGGGAGCATTGGATTGGGCAGTCCTAATTTCTGCCAGTGGGGTGGGGGGGGTGGGCTGAAGCTAGAAAGCAAATTCCGCAGTAAGGAAAAGAAAGTTTTGGTATTCTGTAGTTTAAAAAACCCCAACCCAAACGAACAGAAATTCTGTAATCGACAAAAGACAGAAACTTTTCTCAGAGTTACAGTACGGAGGACTACAGGGTAAACTTTGCAACGTTGGAAACACTGAATTCCTTAATAATGTGTTATCATTGTAGCATGTCAATGGCTGCCAAAATTACTTGAAGCAAACAAACAAAAAACATTCCTGGAGATGCTGTCTATAGTATAAGAGGGTTTTGTTTTATTTTGGTTCCCTCAGTGCTCCCTCAGATTTCCCCATTTGGAAAAGTCAAGTAAGCCCTCAGACCGTTTCATGCTATACACTTGTGAGATGAGTTTTTTTGTCACTTAAAAGGATGTAATATTCTGTAGGGGTTTTTTTAAAAAAGTGGTTCCCTAAATTTTCCAATTTTTCAGTTGGAATTTTTTTTAAAAAAACCTCTTGGGGGGAAAAAGTATCCCTCTCCTTAAATCATTCTGGTGGGTTTTTTTTTTTTGGGGGGGGGGGTTTTTCCCCTGTGGGCCTTCACATCTCTAGTCTAGTTCTCCCCATTCTTGGTCCAGCACTCTTAACACTGCAGTGGGCTGCCTCTTTTAGCATCAAAGGTAGGTAGGTATTAGCCTTAAACTGTTAAATCTCTCTATAGTGTTTACCGTATAGCATCCTTAAAACCTAATAATGTTGATGGTGATAGTAAGTACAAAACTGTAGATGTCTGTGTTGGCTGTTAGAAGAAGTCCAAAAGCAACAATGTCTTTGTATTAGAAATTGCTCCAAAGGTCAGCAGCAATGTTCCCTCTAAGCTGAGTTAGTGTGAGCTAGCTCACACTAACTCAGCTTAGAGGGAACACTGGTCAGCAGTTGTTGAGCAAGTCTGGGCATTAAAACAAAAGAAGAAAAATTGGTTTGACACAAGGAATAGGCCAAGAAGATGGACATCTTGGAGAAGCTCTTCCGTTTGCAGACTGAGAGATAATCTCATCAATAAGCAATGAAAACTGTGCACACTGTGCTGCCTGCTAAAGGCGATGTTGATCTTGTTCTGGTAAAGCTCAAAAACACGAGCAAGCAACTGAATTCCATTTTGTGTACATTTTGATCGAAATGCAAGATGTGAGCTATCTAGAACAGCAGATACCTTCATAAGAACATAAGAGATGCCAGTGTTGGATCAGGCCAAAGGCCCATCCAGTCCAACACTCTGTGTCACACAGTGGCCAAAAATACCAGGTGCCATCAGGAGGTCCACCAGTGGGGCCAGGACATTAGAAGCCCTCCCACTGTTGACCCCTTCCTGAGCTGCTAACAAGAGATACCAAGAGCCACTGTGGGGAAGGGTCCATAGTTCAGAGGTAGAGCATCTGCTTGGCATGCAGAAGGCCCCAGGTTCAGTCCCTGGCATCTTCTCACAAAAGGACCAAGTAGTAGGTGATGTGAAAGGTGATATTGTTGGAACCCGCCCTGAGCCTGTCAAGGGGAGGGTGGGATACAAATCCAGAAAAATAAAAATAAATAAAGACCTCCCACCTGAGTCAGTGGTCTGATTCAGTAGACGGCAGCTTTGTGTGTTCATATTGGGGAGGGGCTGTAGCTCAGTGGTAGGACATCTGTTTGGCATACAGAAGGTCCCATCCCTGACCTCTACAGTCAAAGGACCAGGCAGCGGGTGATGTGAGAGACCTCAGCCAGAGAACCTGGGAGAGCCACTGCCAGTCTCAGTAGACAATACTGACATTGGTGGATCTGCGGTCTGATTCAGTGTAAGGCTGTGTCATGTGTTCAGTGTCTTGTTATTGACTAATAAACAAAGCTTACAAAAACGTGCCCATTATAAAATGACAAAACGAGATTTAAAAAATCCCGACAGGTGTCATCAAGCATTGCCGAGAGGCCTCCAGTGCGCATGTAATGCTACCTGTTGCTCTCCCCACAGGCATGCCTAAAACTTACTTTCTTGCTGGGTGTCTTGAAGGTCGACCAAAAGGTGTGCTAGCAGAGCCTGTGCAGACTTAAATAAATGTCATTCAAGGTTTTAAGATGAATGACACTGAGTCTGATTTTTTTTGCATGCGGAATTCATGGGGAGGGGGAGCCCAATGGGTTTCTATCCAGGGGCTTTTCAAAAGGAGTAAAGAAGCCTTTCAGAGACTAGTTTTCAGCATTTTTATTTGCGTTCTTGATCACAGTGGGACTTCATGGGCCGAGGCGCTGAAGTTTGGCTGTGTAAGGAACATCCCAGTATTGAAAGATTATGCATGGACATACCCACAGCTTTATTGTTGTTATCTGGAGTTAACTGCTCTGTGGCAATCTTGTCTGCCCTTGCTCCTTGGTTTTGGAGGTGGGATGGGAGAGCTCCCGGCTGGTAGGTGGCTAGGAGACTGAAGTCAGTGGCATATTGTGTAGTCTTGTGGTTGTCAGATCTGTTTCCTTGCCTGCTGATACTTCTCTGAGCTGCAGAGTTACCAGATCTTCTCTGTCAATGCTTTTTAAGTAGCAGCAGATTGCCCTTGTACTTTAGGCAGTAAGTTGCATTTATGGTAATTTCTGATGCATTAATTTATACCTCTTCCCTTTCAGGATGTTGGCTTCTAGGGCATGTAGCCTTATTGGCAAGCGGGCCATTTCCACTTCCATCTGTGTCAGGGCTCATGGACACGGTAGGTCTGGAACTTAATGTCTTTCCTCAGCTAACTTCCCCCCCCCCTCCAGCTTTTTTTGTTTTTTAATCACTTGTCCGGTGCTCTTCATTGTATGAAAAGTTTTCCAGCTATTTATCCCGACAGAGACCTTTGTTTTGCCTTTGCTAGGAATTTAAATCTTTAAGTCAGGTTAGCAAAATTTTAATGATGTTAGGAGAATAAGGCAAATGCATCATGTACAGGCACTGGGGTTCGTCCATGTTTCACATCCCACCTTTAGCCGACCTGACCTGGCCTGACTTGGATAGCCCAGGCTAGCCTGACCTCAGAAGCTAAGCAGGGTCAGACCTGGTTAGTGTTTGGATGGGCAACCACCGAGGAAGTCCAGGGTCACTACACAGAGTCAGGCAACGGGACAAACCACCTCTGAATGTCTCTTGCCTTGAAAACCCTACGGGGGTCGCCATAAGTAAGCTGCGACCTGATAGCAAAAAGGGGGTAAAGGTTAAGGTTCCCTTGCTCGAAAGGCAGTCGAATCCAACTCTAGGGTTGTGGTGCTCATCTCCGTTTCAAAGCCGAAGAGCCAGAGCTGTCCGAAGACGTTTCCGTGGTCATGTGGCCGGCATGACTAAACACCAAGGCGCACGGAATGCTGTTACCTTCCCCCCGAAGCGGTCCCTATTGATCTACTTGCAATGTCTTGCTTTCGAACTGCTAGGTTGGCAGGAGCTGGAACTAGAGATGGGAGCTCACTCCATCATGCGGCACACTCGGGCCTCGAACTGCTGAACTACTGACCTTCCACCGCCTGCAGTTATTAGGGGAATAAGGGAAATACAAGAACTGTGTTTTTCCCCCCCGTGCTTCAGATCCCACATTTAGCCTACTTAGTATGACACAGCTGATTTGACAGCAGCCCTGACACAACTATAGACAGGCTGTATTTACATATGTGGGGTGGGAAATCTTTCATGCAAAAAAAGTAAGAGGACTGGAAAATTTTCCACCCCATGTCATTGGCTGGGAATAACTCCCAGGCAGAAATGACAATGCTGAATCTGTATCTGAATACCTGTATCTTATGGACAAAAGGAAATACATCTTTACATAGAGAGTGCTTAAAATGGGGAATTTGCTGGCAGAGGATGTCGTGACGGCCTTAGGCATAAACATCTTTAAAAGAGAATTAGATAGATTATTTTATTATTATTATTATTTATTAAATTTATACCCTGCGAGCGGGCTCAGGGCAGCTTACATAATTGGTCTATAGATTCATGGAGCATCAGTCTGTCAATGGCAACTAGCCCTGGTGACTCTCCACATTCAGAGGCACTAATCGTCTGAATCCCGGAGACAGGAGGCAACATCAGGTGACTGCCTTGGCCTCTATGCCCCGTTGTTGGCCCTCCAGAGGAGCTGGTTGGCCACTGTGTGAGACGGGATGCTGGATTAGATGAACCCCTGGCCTGATCCAGCAGAGTTTTTTTTATGTTGTGGATTAAAACTCCATATTTCCTCGTGTCTTATTCAAATGAGACTCTCTCTTTCTTTCTCTCTCTCTGTTGAACAGGTATTGTAAAAGCAGAGGATTTCAGTGTGCCCGCCTATGTTGACTGTCGGGCCACTCCTCTGCCCCCAATTGACTATACGAAAAGCCTCTCTTCTGAGCAGAAAGCCCTGAAGGAAAAGGAGAAGGCATCCTGGGCTTCCCTTTCTGTTGACGAGAAGGTTGCGTGTAGGTATTCATCGGTGGTGGTGGTGGTGGCTGTTTATGGGGTGGAGGGCAGAAGGGCAGAGGGGTTAGCCTCAGTCTACAAATCACTGTGAGGCAGCAGGGTGCAGTGGTTAGAGCGCTGGGATGACCACCAGGAGGATATGGGTGCTAATTTCCACTCAGCCGTGAAGCTCTATGGATGATCTTAGGGCAGACACAGTTTTTCAGTCTAACCCACTTTGCAGGGTTAATTGCAGAACGTTACCACCAAAGCTCCAGAGAGTGAGGATAGAATTTTTAAAAAAAATGTAACGAATGACTTTGGACTCAATGCACTTGTATTAGTGTCCCCTCTAAGCCGAGTTAGTGTGAGCTAGCTCACAGTGTTTTAGCCTCCGGCTCACGCGTTTTCGTCTTCACTCAGGAAGCTATGGCTCCAGAGCAAGCTAATTGATGCAGTGGCCAAATCGCTCGCTCGCAACATTAATGCCGGTAGCTCACCAAGTAGAATTTTTGCTCACAAGGACTCCACAGTTTAGGGGGAGCGTTGACTTGTACGTCTTGTGCATCTCAAAACACTAGAAACTGGCTTCTTATTATTATTTGCTTCTTCAGTGTACCGCATCAAATTCCATGAGACTTACGCTGAAATGAACAGGGGATCGAATGAATGGAAGACCGTTTTTGGTGGAGTATTCTTCTTCCTCGCCCTCACTGGCTTAATTTTTATTTGGCAAAAAAAGTATGGTGAGTAGTTGGCCATCGGAGTGGCACCTTCAAAGGGAAGAAAAGTTTAAAAGTTTGTAACCATGTGGCAATGGAGGGGAGTGGGTATTTTTGGAAGAGTAGCATTTTGGCACACTTGAGTAACAAAGGCAACTTCTTATGTGACAAAAATATTACTTTGTCAGTTGAAAAACTGAAAGATTCCTTGACCTGGCTCTCCTCCCACTCACCAAACCTCAAAGCTTGTGAACAGAGAATACTGGCTCTCCTAAAGCAGAGATGGACTGTTGAAGGCAGTTAATTGTTTATGCCCTGCTGTACCCCTGCATTTTCTTGCAGCCTTTCCCCTCTTTTTTAGTTTAGAAAAGAGATGGGAGGGGCATGATAGAGGTTTATAAAATTATACATGGGCTAGAGAGAGTTGACAAAACGTTTTCTCCCTCTCCCAGAATACTAGAACTCAAGGGCATGCAGTGATGAAGCTGATGGGCAGTAGGTTCAGGACAGACACAAGGAAATACCACTTTACATGGAGAGTGATTAAAATGTGGAAGTCACTGCAAGAGGATGTAGTGATGGCCACAGGAATAAACAGGTTCAAAAAGGGCTTAGATTCATGGAGGATAAGTATCAATGGCTACTAGCCCTGGTGACTGAGGGGAACCTCCACATTCAGAGGCACTAATCCTCTGAATCCCAGAGCCAGGAGGCAACGTCAGGGGAAGGGCTCGGCCTCCAAGTCCTGTTGGTGGCCCTCCAGAGGAACTGGTTGGCCACTGTGTGGGACAGGATGCTGGACCAGATGGACCATTGGTCTGATCCCGCAGGGCTCTTCTGATGTTCTCTATATAACAGTATAGCTGCTTCACCAGTTGCTTTTTTCCCAAGCTTCCTTTTTAATATGGATGGCCTTGCCTGTGTCAGCAGACACACAACTCAACTGCACTTAACAAAGCCTTGCAATTATTCCACTTGCCCGCCCTTGCCTGAATTAGGAATTTGCAGTCCCAACACACACACCCTTGAAATACTGCTTGTAAAGTTTCCTTGGTTGAAGACTCTTCTTACTCTTTGCAGTTGTCCATGAGAAGCTCATTTTGACAATCCTGTATTTACAGAATAAATTCTTTCCTGGTACTGTATGTGTCAATTCCACGGAAAGAACTCTGCACCAAAGGCGTCTGGGATTGATGTCTGGGTGAAGTGTGGCAACAAGGCTAATTGCAGAGGAGGGCTTGGTCAGTCCCTTGCGGCCCCTCCCTCCCCCTCCCAGAGTCTTGCAGCCTTTTAAATCTAACAGGTTTAATAAAGCACAAGGTCAGATGCCTGAAGTGACTCTTTAGTCTGCAGTTCCACTTCACACATGAAATGATGCAGGTTCCGGTGGAAACAAACTGGCATTTCTGTAAACCTCTTAGGGGGTGCAAGAAATTGAAATTCATGTTTTGGCTATTAACGAGGTTTATCATGTCTGTTTTCAAGCCAGATGGTACATTGTTAATAGGCCAATTTGTCTTGGGGGGGGGGGGATGTTCTGTTGTGCAGAACTCCATTCATGCACACACCCCTCCCCCTCAGGCCACATAGGTAGGTGATAGAAGGTTGTGCGCTCTTCCTCAAAGGTATGTTTTTTTAACAGAAATCGTATTTGTACCCTGCCCGTCACGCGAGCGGGCTCAGGGCGGGTCACACCATCTCTCAGCAATTACAGTAAAGTTTAAAAGCACAGTATAAACATTTAAAAATAGTGGTTATAGCTACTGGGGACGTTCCAACCCGTTCATACTGATGGATATGGCCGGTTGCTGGTAGATGGGTGGCCAGTAGGTAGGAGACAGCAACCTCGGGGAGGCCATGTGTGGACGCCCACTGCCTCAACCAAAGGCCTGGCGGTACAGCTCCATCTTGCAGGCCCTGCGGAACTGAGTAAGATCCCTCAGGGCCCTGATCTTGGTGGGGAGCATGTTCCACCAGCTGGGGGCCAGGGCAGAGAAGGCCCTGGCCCTGGTCGAGGCTAGACAGACGTCTTTTGGGCCAGGGACCACCAGGAGATGTTGATTACTAGAGCGTGTGGTGGAACAGGGACCCGTCCTCAGCCCTGGGAGACTGAGCCACTGTTCTGTGGATCGCAAGCCCCTGTTTTGGCCTTCTCACCCTGCCTGGTGGGACTATTTCTCTTCGTTACCGCTGCCACCACTCACTGAATTGAGTTACCGCCTTCCTTGAGGGACAGTGAGACCCCTCTGACTAAATTACCCACCTTGGGAAGTGAGTACGTTGGGCGCCCCCTGGAGAGTTGGGAACCTTTCTGATTTGGGACCGTTTTTGTTACCTGGCCTCCCTTTGCCCCTGGTAATGTGCAGAGCGGGGAGGACTATGTGGTTAAGGCTCACCAGGCTTTTTAAACTCAAAAATGAAGATTTATGTAACTATATACAGGTTAGGCATGAAAATAAACCCAGGCCCTTCAACATAACCTGGGCACAGAAAATAAAACAGGACCAAAATGCAATTCCTCTGCCCCTGGAGGGAAACCGCAGCCCTTCCCTGGACTGGTCACCAGTACTGCCACCACAATTTGCAGTGGCCTGGATCGCCCACGGAGTCTGCGGTGACAGGAGCCCCCACCTGTCCACTCCCTTGAAGCTCTTGTCCACACACAGCCAAAGGCTGAAGATCAGGCCGAATACCAGGCGGAGACTAAAGACTCTCTTCAAGGGCCAAAGCCTTTATCTCCCTGGCGCCGCCCCTGGGTTGTGTCCATCTTTCCCCCCTCTTTCCCCTCAAGGCTGCTGGGAACTGTAGGCAGGGAGGTGTGGCAGCTCCATTGTTCTCTATGGAGTACCCCTCCCCCAACGTAAGGAACTACCAGGCTGGCATCCATTTTAAGGCCTGGCAGCCATTTCGTCACAGAGCGTAAAGCTCTTCGAGGCATATACGGGAAGAGGCGGTCCCTTAGGATTAGTATGTTGGTCCCAGGCCGTATAAGGCTTTGAAGGTGATTACCAGCACCTTGAAGCGGATCCGGTACTCAACTGGTAACCAGTGCAGCTGGCAAAGCACATGCCAAACGTGAGCCTGCACAGGCGTTGACGTCAGCAGGTGCGCCGCCGCATTTTGTACCAGCTGTGATTTCCGGGTCAGCCTCAAGGGTCAGCCTGCGTAGAGCGAGTGGCAGTAATCAAGCCTGGAAGTGACCTTGGAGAGGTTGCCCGATTGAGGGGCTGACAGCTGGAGGAAAGCCAGGTTGGCTGTGCTTCTTGGTGGTGGAAAGGGCTGTCAAGTCACTTACGGCGACCCCCGGACTTTCCCTTGGTGGTCTCCAGAGGTCATTTCGGGGGGGATCGCAGTTTCCCCAGGTCAAGGGTGTAGACTTTCCAATTTCCTGAGGTGCGTGGGGGCAGGGCACATGATGAAGCCCCGCCCCCTGCTTCCGGCCGCCCCGCTTCCGGCCCTCATTCAGCCAGGAGGAGGCAGGAGAAGAGGGAGGGTAAGTTGCTTCCTCCCCGCCTCTCCCCACCCCTGCCTGCCTGGGGCCAGGGAGGGCCTTCGTGGGGCTTCCTTGCACTCCCGCCGGCCTTGCACATCCATTGCAGGGCCCCTCATAGGGCTCAGCAGTGGAGCTGCAAGGCTGGCGGCGGCAGCCGGGACCGTTGGGGGCGGGGTGTGTGGCCTTATGACACACTTCCTGTGATGTCAGGGGGTGTGGCCTTATGACACACTTCCGGTGGTGTCAGGGTGTGTGGCATATGCTAATGAGTCATGCTAATGAGTTCCCCTAGCTCTTTTTCTACAAAACGACCCCTGGTGGTCTCCCACCCAAGTACTAACCAGGGCCAACCCTGCTTAGCTCCCAAGATTAGATGAGTCCGGGCTAGCCCGGTCCCTCCAGGGCAGGGCTGCGATTCCTCCTGATAAATATTGCAAGGGGCTTCTCTCTCTCTCATTGCAGTTTTGGGGCCAGTACCCCACACTTTGTCCGACGAATGGGTGGCCATGCAGACCAAAAGAATGCTGGATATGAGAGTGAACCCGGTCCAAGGCCTCTCTTCCAAATGGGACTATGAGAAGAACGAGTGGAAGAAATGAACAGCAGTCCGGCCATTTCCTTTCTTTCCCCGGTTTGACATTTCTGAAACGGTTCCATCCTCTCCATCTGACTTCACTGCTTCTGTGCTTGGGGAGGGGAGAGGAAATAAAAAACAGGAGCCCTCCATTGGAATATAAACCTTAATAAATGTCTGGTTTACTTGAAAAAAGGTGTCTTCTGTTTGTCCTAAAATGCTTTCAATGTCCATAGGCTGTAATAGCTAGTGAAAGCAGCACATTTTGGAATACTGGTTGCAAAGCGACTGTAGGCTGATATCGGCTGTGATCTCACACACTAAATAATGCACTTTCATCACTTTCCGGGTGCAAAAGTGCATTGAAAGTGAATTGAAAGTGCATTATTTAGTGCAGGGGTGTCAAACATGTGTCCCTAGGGGCTGGAGGGCTTCTATCAGGCTCACAGTGGAACTGGCTGTCTTCTGCTGCTTCTTCCAGTTCTGCTGCTGCTGCTGCTGCTGCTGCACCATCGTAGGTTTGCAGCTTACAGATACACACCTGAACAGCACACTCAAGACTGCAACAGCACAGACATTTTGGTGCAATAATTCAGAGCAAGAGGTGTCAGTTATCAGACACTGTTAAAAAAGCAAAACATTGCAAGAGTGCTAATGTCTTAAGTGTGCTTTTATTTTAAGTTTAAAAAATTAATTGTGTTTGTGAATCTTTGCTACCTGATATTACATTTTATGACACACATGGCCCGGCCCAACAAGGTCTCATTTATGTCAGATCCGGCCCTCATATCAAATGAGTTCGACACCCCTGATTTAGTGTGTTTGATCAATGGTCCCTATAAGCTGTGGAGTGAGCAAAAATCCTACTTTGTGAGCTGCTGGCATTACAGTAAGCGAGTGATTTGGCTATTGCATAAATTAGTTTGCTCTGGAGCTGTCATGAGCTAAGAAAAATGTGTGAGCTGGAGGCTAAAAAACTGAGCTAGCTCACACTAACTCAGCTTAGAGGGAACACTGTGTGATCACAGCCATAGAGTTGCACTTGAAAATGGGTCAAAGGGAGTAGAAATCTTGGGGGGTTTTGCCATTTTTAGATGCAAAATACATGCAGCAAGATTAAAAGTTGCAGTTTAAAAAGACCCACACACCTTTATTCTGAGCACTTTTGATTACTTATCTGCTGAAGCGGCAGGACATCAAGTGCATTTATTTGATCTACAAGTTCTGAAAGGTTTTTTTTTTTTTTTTGCTATGTTGGTTGTATTTTAAATTGGAGGAAGAAGATTCCTCGCAGGGCTGTTGTGAGGCTAAAAAATGGCGGCGAGGAGAACAACGTAAGCCACTGTGGGGTTCCCACTGGGTACAAAGGCAGGTCATAAATAAAAAATGACCTACAGGAAAACTGTTCTCATTCCACACCAGACTTCTATTCTTATTTGCGGGCATTCAATTAAAGTAATAAGCAGTGGGTTTAGAACAGATGAAGGAGTTCTTCACCCACAGAGTAATTAACATGTGCAGGGCTCTTTTTATAGAAAAAGCCCAGCAGGAACTCATTAGCATAATAGGCCACACCCAACAGCAGAAACTCATTAGCATATTAGGCCACACCCCTGACAGCTTGGGGGGGGGGTAACAGTGGGAGGGCTGCTAATGAGCTTGTTACCCATGTTACTAGAAGTGTTGTCATCCAGCCACACCCACCTTTTGCTTCTTATTCTGTTTACCTTGTTTGTTGTCAAAGCCCAGGGCTTTTTTGTAGCAGGAACTCCTTTGCATGTTAGGCCACACACCCCTAATATAACCAGTCCTAATGAGTTTCTGCTGCTGGGTGTGGCCTATTATGCTAATGAGTTCCTGCTAGGCGTGGCCAACTTGGAAGCCAGCCGGAACTCCGTTCCTGTGCGTTCCTGCACAAAAATAGCCCTGAATTGTCATGTAGAATTTACTGCAGTGGTGAATTGACAGTTCCCAACCATTTCCCATTGACAGTTTCAAGAGGGGACTGGATAATCATGGATCAGAGGTCCATATTAGCCACAGGGTATAGGTGGATCACTCTGGGGCAGTGAGGCTCTATATACTTGGTGTTTTTTTTGGGGGGGGGGTAACAGTGGGAGGGCTTTTGGAGTTCTGGCCTCGCTGATGGTTCTGATGGAACCTGGGTTTTGGTCATTGTGGGACACAGTGTTGGGCTGGATGGGCCACTGGCATGATCCAACATGGGTTCTCTTATGTTCAGACATCTGCATGCAAGTAGCAGTACTGGCAATCTATTAGCTGGCCTGTGGAAGTGACTGTCCTGATAAGGGTGCAATACTGTAACGACAGGAGCTGCGGTGGCTCAAGTGGTTAAGATGCTGAACTGCAGGCTGTGGAAGGTTGGTAGTTCAGCAGTTCGAGACCCGGGTGTGCCGCATGATGGAGTGAGCTCCTGTCTCTAGTTCCAGCTCCTGCCAACCTAGCAGTTCGAAAGCAAGAAATTGCAAGTAGATAAATAGGTACCACTTTGGTGGGAAGGGAACAGCGTTCCGTGCGCCTTGGTGTTTAGTCATGCCGGCCACATGACCACGGAAACGTTTTCAGACAGCGCTGGCTCTTCGGCTTTGAAATGGAGATGAGCACCGGAGCCCTAGAGTCGGATTCGACTGGCTTTCAAGCAAGGGAACCTTTACCTTTTTTACTGTAATGCAATCTGGGAGAATGGGGTTTGATTCCTCACTCCTCCACTTGCACCTGCTGGATGACCTTGGGCAAGCCATAGTTCTGTCAGAACTGTTCACTCAAGGACAGTTCTGGAAAGGGCTTTCTCAGCCCCACCGACCTCCCAGGGTGGCTGTTGTGGGGAGGGAAAGGGAAAGGAGACTGTAAGCTGCTCTGAGACTCCCAAGTGAAGGGCGGGGTAGAAATCCAATCTCTTCTCTTCTGCCTCCTGCAGCTCCGCAAAGGCGTCTTGCCAGCAAGTCAACCCCTGTGAGGCTTCCAGGAAGCTAGCACAGCCTTGCTTGTGGCTTTTCTAAGCGTGGGGGGTTGAAGTAGGGGGGGGGGGGGGTGACATCTTAGCTCAAAGTTCACCGCTGTTGCTAAGCTACACAACTAAAACAAATCTAGGTGGATAATTGGTGGTAGTTTAAACTGAATCCATCCTAACTCATTCTGCAAAGGCCCTTTAGAATTTATTTAAAACATTTTATGCAGTGGTTAAGTGTGCGGAGTCTAATCTGGGAGAACCGGGTTTGATTCCCCATTCCTCCACTTGCACCTGCTGATGTGACCTTGGGTCAGTCACAAGCTCTGGCACAGCTGTTCCTGAAAGAGCAGTTTGTGCCAGAGTTCTCTCAGCTCCACCCACCTCACAGGGTGTCTGTTGTGGGGAGGGGAAGGGAAAGGAGTTTGTAAGCCGCTCTGAGACTCCAAGTGAAGGGCGAGGTATAAATCCAAACTCTTCTTCTTCCCATCTGATCAGGGTGCACCAGGTAACGAACACCTCCCCCCCCCCCAAAAAAAAACCCACGAGCAATGAACATTACACTTAAAAAAATTTTTTTAAAAAATAAGCACATATACGAAGGCATTAAAACAAGCTGGGGACCTGAAAGCAAGAGCTCAGACCAATGTTCCCTTTGAACTGTGGAGTCCTTGTGAGCAAAAATTCTACTTTGTGAGCTCCTGGCATCAAAGTTGTGAGCGAGCGATTTGGCTGCTGCATAAATCAGTTTGCTCTGGAGCCATCCCTTTCTGAGCGGAGACAGAAATCTGAGAGCCGGAGGCTAAAAACTTGTGAGCTGGCTCACACTCACTCAGCTTAGAGGGAACACTGGCCCAGACGAGTGGGGAAAGAAAGGAATTTGGAAATCCCTCTCTCCACCCATCTACCCACCTGCAAGACCTTGACTTCCAGAAAGCTTTTGATAAAGTTCCTCATCAAAGGCTCCTAAGTAAGCTCAAAAATCATGGGATAAAAGGACAAGTCCTTTTATGGATCAAAAACTGGCTAATTAATAGAAAACAGAGAGTGAGTATAAATGGGCAGTTCTCCCAGTGGAGGGGGGTAAGCAGTGGGGTACCACAGGGATCAGTACTTGGTCCACTGCTTTTTAACTTGTTCATTAATGATTTGGAGTTGGGAGTAAGCAGTGAAGTGGCTAAATTTGCAGATGATACGAAGTTGTTCAGGGTGGTGAAAACCAGTGAGGATTGTGAGGCACTCCAAAGGGATCTGTCAAAGATGGGCAAGTGGGCGTCAACATGGCAAATGGGGTTCAATGTGGCCAAGTGCAAGGTGATGCACATTGGAGCCAAAAATCCTAAATATAAATACACGTTGATGGGGTCTGAACTGGCAGAGACTGATCAAGAGAGAGATCTTGGAGTTGTAGTAGATAACTCACTGAAAATGTCGAGACAGTGTGTGACTGCAATAAAGAAGGCCAATGCTATGCTGGGGATTATTAGGAAGGGTATTGAAAACAGATCAGCCAATATAATAATGCCCCTATATAAATCAATGGTGAGACCTCATTTGGAATACTGTGTGCAGTTCTGGGCACCACACCTTAAAAAGGATATTATAGCTTTGGAAAAAGTGCAGAAAAGGGCAACTCGAATGATAAAAGGGTTGGAACACTTTCCCTATGAGGAAAGGTTAAGGCGCTTAGGGCTCTTTAGCTTGGAGAAACGACGACTGAGGGGTGACATGATTGAGGTTTATAAGATTATGCATGGGAAAGAGCAGGTAGAGAAAGAGGTACTTTTCTCCCTTTCTCACAATACAAGAACCCGTGGGCACTCCATGAAATTGCTGAGCGGTCGGGTTAGAACGGATAAAAGGAAGTACTTCTTCACCCAAAGAGTGATTAACACATGGAATTCACTGCCACAGGAAGTGGTGGGTGCTACAAGCATGGACGGCTTCAAAAGGGAATTAGATAAGCATATGGAGCAGAGGTCCATCAGTGGCTATTAGCCACAAGGTATAGCTAGGGGCTCTGGGGCAAGTGATGCTCTGTCTTCTTGGTGCTTGGGGGGGGGGTCAACAGTGGGAGGGCTTCTAATGTCCTGGCCCCACTGCTGGACCTCCTGATGGCACTGGTATTTCTGGCCACTGTGGGATACAGAGTGTTGGACTGGATGGGCCTTTGGCCTGATCCAACATTGGCATCTCTTATGTTCTTATGTTCTTATGAAATACCTGCCCATCGAAAACGCTTTATACTGCCAAACCTCTCTGAGGTTCAAATACGGTTTTGTACTTAAACTGACACTCCATTCTCACGAGGCTGTGTGTGTGTGTGATTTTTTAATATTTTTTTAAAATGGTTTTTAAAGTTCATTTACAAAGTCCTTTCCTTTTGTATATCTGGGGCATTTTCTATGTAGGAACACCCCCCCCCCCCAATGTCTTGATTTTCCTGCTCTTGAGGTGCATTACTATTACTCTAATAGGGTTACCGGATGTCCTTTGTGTGTGTGTGTGTGTGTGTGTGTGTGTGTCAGTCCTCTTTTGGGCTTGTTTTAAAAAATTGTTGAAAATGTCCCTCTGCGGGGGGTGGAAGGTTAGGAATATTCCTAGTTAGTAGCAATTATCCCCGCTGAAATAGTAGAGGGTCTTTAAAATGAGATTTGTCGTAGTGATCATGCGTTTGAAGGGAAATATGTCCTCTGTTTTGCTTTTCAGAATATGGCAGCCCTATACTATATCCATTTCTCTAAGTTCCCACGCTGCCACGCTCTTGTCTGGATCACTGGTCTGATCCAGCAGGGCTCTTCTGATGTTCTCATGAAGGCCTTGGCCTCTATGCCCTGTTGTTCCACTGTGTGGGACAGGAGGCTGGACTCGATGGACCATTGGTCTGATCCAGCAGGGCTCGTCTTGCGCTCTTACATTCTTAATCATCCCTCGCCGTCTCTTTGGAGGCTGCTGCTAAAACTGCAAGCTGGAAATGAATGAAATTCTTCTGGCAGGACAAAGCAGGCTGCGGCAGAAAGGAGCCGGCGCCTTTGCCAGGTCCCTTGGAAACCGGCAGGGTCCCAGGGGTCCTGTTTCCTTCCTGCCAAAGTTGCCAGGACCCCAAAGCAAAACAGCACCAGTGGCACAACTATAGGGCTTGGATTACGGTCCCCCCCCCCCTGAAAATAACCTGTTCCTAATAGCCCCCCCCCTTAGTTGTTTAGGTTAGTGTCCCCCC